TATGCTTGTTAACTTATCATTGCTAGCATGGATGTTAAGTATAACTCAAGTTCAACTTTGACAAACATTTACACATTTTAAAGGTCCTGTTCAAAAGTGTTTTTCTTTTTTACCTAATTTACATTTTACATCCTAAATGTACCTTCTTATACATACACTTAAACATAGTTCAACCTAGTCTGTTGTCTATATAAGATTGAAATCCTGACAGTCTCGTTTCCAACATCCTGGGCCCCTCTTGGGCTAAACTTGGTAAACATTACTTTAACATGAGTTTGCTCCGTCTAAAGAGAGCTATTCTGGGACTTAAAGATACCTGAGGGGCCTCAGGGATCTATAACTATACTGCAGTTCCTCCTTTAGGCTTAAGGGGTTCTTTTTTGTTATCAGCCCTTCAATGAATACTCCAACAAGCCTCTGTCCTTTGAATGAAGCACTTAGCTCGGATGTCAAATGTTTTTATTACAGATCAGAATAATCTTTGCTTTCAGATGTCAGTGACCTAAATCAGGTCCTGCATGCTATCAGGTCAGCGTTAGCTAATACCACAACAACCTTTACGATCGAGCATTTCTATCCACATTTTGTATGCACATTTTCTACTTGGGCATAGAATCACCTAGTTGAAAACAAAAATTCTAGAAGAATCATGAAATGTCACAAAAAAGTATTTTGTCTTGGCAAAACGCAGTGCAATCAAAAAGAGATTTGGCAAACAAATGATGACATACATGAAGCATGTAACTTCGGTGTCCACTATAGATGGAAACGAGTATGCATTTGCAAGTATATTTTTCCATTTTCTTGAAATTCGATTAAAATTTGCCCTAGATTTGGATGTAAACTTGGCTTAATGAACCATGAAATGAACAGACAAAAAATAGGACCCAAAGACACCCGTTGCAGCAAAAGTGATGGTTAATTTGTCCAGGAAAACCTAAATGAAATATCATTATCTTTAGACTAATGTGAACGGTTCCACTAATCAATATCTGAAACAAATGAAACTTGGAAATCTCAGAGGATAGAAGTGTGTATTCTAGTGACAGCTGGTTTGAACACTGTAATGCTGTTTTTTTCGTGGCGAATGCTGCCTTTCGCTTTTATGAGCGTGCTGTAAAATCATTTAAACTAAAGAAGGGGTAGCCCTGATACCCCAAAAGGCTCTCACTATTGTTGGTGAACTTAACAAGAAAAGGTTTCTGTGAGCGGCCTGCATCCTGAAAATAGAGGCATATGTGTTTTGGAAAATGTGCCCCGTAAGATTGCAACTGAGATACTTATCCAATACTCAATCAAAGTCTTCGTAAATCCATGTAAGTAAAAGTTTGGTGTAAATGGGTGAACAGTTGAAAGTAAAGACATAGGTTGCAGTCGAATGGTCCATTTAGCTTAGGAACCTTCCTAACGGAGTGAAATGACCCGGAAGTACCTCAGTGGTAATATGAATATGGGTAATGTCAAAATTCAATTTTGAAATAGGAAAATCATTTGTTAAAAATATGTCTTGCAAAAGTGTGTTGTTGTTGACAGTGTTGGTCCTTACAAGTCTGGTAAAAGAACGTGTTTCGCAGTGCACAATGGTTCATTGCTCTCACCTCGGGCAGTGTCTCACTCTGAGAAGGTGTGTGTGCTTCCCTTCACTGGGTGGCTTATTTGCTCTATCACACATAAAAACACACATTCATAGACAGAGCCCTGCTTTTACAACAAGTGATATTTGTCCCAAAATAATATGTATTGGCACGACGGATTAAGACAATTGTGTATGGGTATTATCCTTTACTGGTTGCTGGTAGGAAACTATAATTGCAGGGTTTAAGATCATCTACTAAGTGAATGAATCACAAAGTGCTGTTTTATTTCCTTTTAGGTCAACAGTAGTGTCACGTTCAGACAGTCTTTCTATTGACCATATTTGGAGTTTTTGACAGGAGATGACGTAAAGCTCCGGGGGTCTAATATACAAGTTATTGTTTGCTGCTGACAAGCATGCAGAAAAAGATCAGCTCTGCTACACCTTACTCTGTTACCAGCAGGCCTACTAGTTCATCTATTAAGGAAGGGCCTCAGTCACGCAGACTGCTATGGTTTTTACATGGAGATTGATGATAAGATAACTAACTGCAGGCTTGTGATTGGCTGGCTCGTTCTCATGCTTCTGCTTCAATCTGTTTATTCTTTCTCTCCGGTAACTGTCACCAACCTCTCGTCTGTCCGCACAAATCTCGCAGCAGATCTTTTACGTCATAAATTGTCTCTGTAGTCTTTGACTCTGACTGTAATCCCTAACCATGCACACATACAGCATATTCAACTATTCAACTACTTCTAAGAAGAATATTTTCTTATATTGAATGTCACATCTTAGGATGTAAAAATATTAAATATGAAAATGTTTTGGACAACTTTGGATTATACATATATATAATTCCTGTATGCCTCTTCAATGTTTACAGTCAGCTCTGTGCATTGTACTCACTACTAGCCAAGAGTTTGCAAGACTCAAGTAGAGATGAATACCAAAAAGGAAAGCTCACATTTCTGGAAAGAGGGTGAAACACTATTTTTAGACATTCTAAAAAACGTATATAGGATAGGATATAGGATATACCAGGTTTTGTTTGAGAAAATCGCAATGCCAACCTCTTCAAGAAGTTGGTTGAAGGAATAAAAAAAGGGTGGTTGTGTTCCAACCGCCTGAAAAAGTCAGCCACCAGCATCAAAATGGCACTATGTACAGTATTGTCTTTGGTTTTCAGTCGTTTTTTTACTATCGAACAAGGGAGTGTGTGTGTGTGTGTGTGTGTGTGTGTGTGTGTGTGTGTGTGTGTGTGTGTGTGTGTGTGTGTGTGTGTGTGTGTGTGTGTGTGTGTGTGTGTGTGTGTGCATGCGTGTGCGTGTGTGTGTGTTTGTGTAAGATTCCAAGCACACCTGTCAACACCGAGACACTGGGCCCTTTATTACCCAAGCCCACGCAATTCAACCGACAAAATCCTTCTACTGACAAACACACACACACACACACACACACACACACACACACACACACACACACACAATTCAGGCGGTTGAACAGAAAAGAGGAGCCAGGTGCTGAATCAAACCATTTCCTCACCCCCCCTCGACCCCATCTTAATCCAAAGCGAGCCTACATTCAAACATTGTTGAGTTTGTTTAGAGAGAATTTTAATAAACAAAAACAAAAAAGAATACAACAAAGATAACTACAGTGCAAGAAGAAGCAGAAAACCCACTTGTTAACATTTCACAATATTAGAGTTGAAGGTTGAGTTTTAGTGTGAATTGCTTTTAAGTTGTGGGGCAAGCATGAACAATGGCATCAGGAAAGTGCGAGTTTAAATATGAACTGGCTTTAACACCTGCAGCTGCAGGTGCGTCACTTTGTACGAGTCAAAGTCAAGTTCATTTAGACTTCATTTCAGAATCAGAATACCTTTATTCGTCCCACAATTTACATTGTTACAGCAAAAGTGAAGATAGGGACAAAAAGATAAACTATTAGAAAGGTCATTCACATAATATTAAAACAAGTTATTTCAATGTATATATTGCACAACGTTTAATTTCTTTTCAGGCTTGTCATGTTTTCGGTTTCTAGGGCACATTCTGTGATCACATCAAGCCGCACAAATACAAGGAACATGCAATTGTCTTGCAAAAAGCTTCTTCCATACAGTGTCTATGTTTGTTGGCTCATATCTTACAACATAGCCAGACATGTATTGTCATGCTATTATGATGACATGTGTTTGTTATTTTTCACCCTGATAGGGCTGATTGCACATTTCTATTTTTTGTTGTAGCTTTTCTGTTCAAATATCACACTAAGGCTTGCTATTCAATCTTGGCTCTGCAGCTGCACACTTCAAACCGTTTCACCCAAGGGGATTTATGTTTGCCAGACAATGTGTGTTTTCCAGAAGCAGTTATAAGAACTGGTTATTCCCTCAGTTGAAAGCCACCTTAGATGAAGCTGCGGTTTGTGGTCACTTTTGAAACCTGCAGGAGTGTTGGCTGTGTGGCATCTAACACTACGTGATATCAATGCCAAAGAGAATATAAAACACATTGTGTTAACACTTTTTGGAGATAACCAAGTCCAACCCTGTTGAAAGACAAATATACAGGTGCCAAGGCATTGACGGAGCATGTATTTTAGAACATGTTCTCGACACCAATACTTATTAAGCCACTGAAGGGCATGTAATGATTGTGTGGCTTTGGAAAGGGAACATAACTCATTGTCCTTTAGCTCCTCCCTCCTCCTTGCTCCCAGATTCAGGGCCAGTCACTCTGACTGGCTTCCCGTTTTTTAACACCTTGCTGATAGAAAGTCTGTCAAGTCAGACAGATAATAGGACAAAAAGAGGAAATAACTTTGCCTTCAAAATAAAAGCGCAAAATTCGACACAAAAGAGATAAATCCGCTTTCATTGCCAAAGACTTTGAGAATGCAAATTGCTGTCAACACTCAGTGCATTGACATCTTTGGCCAAGTGCACTTAATATCCCAACAAGAAACTTTCATATTCAGCCAATGACACTACATTGTAAAAAGTGATATATGACAGCAGTACATGATAGATTATGCCATGCATTTGCCCAATCAGGAATTATATTATTTCATAATATGTCCCACATGACGTGACACGTCATCTTTTTTGTTTATTTGATGCAAAACAATACTTTACAAAACATTGTAATTGAGTAAATCAAGAAATTGTACAATTTGTAGAGCCATAACTTCTGTTCAATATGGCTTACAAACTTAAGGGAACAAATGTGGCTGGACTGGGACTTTGACAAAATCTAGAGTAAAACAATATTTCTTCATGAAGGTGAACTCATATCGACATCAATTATGAAAAACACGGTGAATTTAAGTGTGCTTTGGTTCTCTTTTAAGCCTGATGTATTTTGAAATTCTTCACCGGAAACAGCTTTCTCTTCATTGTAGCGTGGGTGACAGCTCTGGCTCACACCTCGCTCGCGCTGACAGTCTCTCCTTGAGCAGAGGCTCTGTTTGACTTCTTTAGTCCACGCTTCATCCCGGTGCCTTGTTCTTTGGATTTATCTATTTTTTATCTTTAACCTTCTCAAATATTAACGTCAGAAATAACCGGAGAGACAGTAAGTGACGGCAAATTAAGTTTGTTCAACCGTCTGGTCAGCCCTAGTCGTTGTTAGTGGTTGACTGATTGAACGCATCCATCCCAGGTGTCACTGCGGTGTGGAACATTAGCTAATTTTCAAAGCTGTCTAGATTTACATTTTTTACTCGGTCCAATTTGCACGGAAAGTGGCTGGAAGTTAGAACTGAAAGTGCTGAGCATCAGAAAGTATTGTAATCTACAGGAGGAGACCAATAACCCCAACTGCCGACAGTACAAGGCTTCTCAAGGTAAGGAAAAATACGAACCTTAAGATATTGAAACAAGCTCTCGTCTAGGCTATAGGGTTGTGCTTAAACGATATATATTTTAGCATGACATTTGCTCTTAAAGAAATATATTATGTGTCACTGTTCAATAATACAATTATTAAAGTGTGTTTTTTGTATTACAATACATATTAATAACTTGTTTTAATTGTTTATCCTGTAGAATTGATAATGAGGCAAACCTCATGCTGCCAATGGGGATGATTTTTTACTTTAATTAGCACGTAACATTTGGCTAATTATTGATTAAATTGCCTGATTTGCAGCCCTTTAATGTTCCCCTGATATCTCATCTATTCATGTTATTCGATAATAACTTGTTTTGTGGGGTTGGGGTCATGGAGGCATCTGTATTGTTACAGTAACATATGCCTCTTGTATTGTTCCATTCCTTATACTGTAAACCTGTCCCGTATCAAGAGATGATGTTTGTGTTCATGTTGCTGTTCAAAGATAGACTTTGAACTTAACCTGCCTTCTGCTTTCAGCTGTAGTGTGTGGTTTCCTGATGTGTGCAATCAAAAGATTTCACTCATGGAAAAAAAAACATAGTGTGAAAAAACTAGGGCATTGCATCACTTGAACCCATGCAGATCTAGAAGCTCTTGATGTTTGCAACTGAAAGTGACCAAATGACAAAACAGTAGGGATTTTTAGAAATGCAAATATTGCAGTGTGGATGTGTGACTCATTGCCAAAACCCCTTCTCCTTTGTGCACACTTCTTTTTTCATAATGAGGAAAAGAAAGCCCCTGATGGCAATCTGAACCTTGAGACCCACACCTTAAGGCCATGCTGGGGGGTAGTTTAGGCCCTGATAACATGCAGGCTTCTCTGTCTGTCTGTCTGTCTGTGTGTCTGTCTGTGTGTCTGTGTGTCTGTGTGTGTGTGTGTGTGTGTGTGTGTGTGTGTGTGTGTGTTGCAGCATTCCACCTGCTCCTCCAATTTCAGATACAGATAAAGGAGCACATACACACTCGTGCAGACACAACACTGCGTTGTTATGGTGCTATCACGAAGAATGCAAGGACCAACACACATGTAGCCTAGGGTACATTCCACCTCAGCCGTATTACGTCTCGCGTTCCTCTTCAACTTGATACGTTTTTGCCGTCTTGACTTTGATGCTCCTTCATGAATTACTGAAACAATGTGTTGCATCTGAAGAGAAGAACAACCTTTATTAGGAATACTTTCTATTAGGGCTGCTAAATTAATCGTATTTTAATCGCGATTACGATTATGGCTTGCAACGATTACGAAAACAACGTAATCGAAATAAAACGATTATTTGTTTATTCTTATTACTTTACTTTTTTTTGGTTTTTCAGTTGAATTATACTCAGGGTAATCAACTGTTAAAAACATACTGTTAAAAAAAAAAATTCTCCAATAAATGGATGTTTTCAAAGTCAATAAATAATCGCATTTAATAATCGCAATTACAATTATTGACCCAAATAATCGAGATTATGATTTTTGCCATAATCGAGCAGCCCTACTTTCTATTGGATGTCATGGCTTTCACTTTCAGAAGCTTCTTCAGTAGCTGCTCTGTGTATGACTGGAACCTACCATTTTCACACGCAAGTCCTGAAGTGATAATACCACACGCTATACGTCAACAAATGTAACAGCAGCCATAACATGCAAGTTGCTTCTCGTATTTTGTATCCCATGTTATCTCATAACCTTGTTGGCAGAAATGCACAATGTAGCAGTCTTCTCACAGCAGCTGCTTTTGCAAAAAGACTAAATGAAGAAGCGTAACTATGTCAGTGTTTCTTCTGAAGAAAACGTGAGAAAATACGTTATTTCTAATCAGTTGCATCAATGTGATAGGGCTGTGTTTTACTGCACCCAACACAATAAAACAAGTTATTTCCTACCCTTTTAAGGAGAGTTATTAAGAGCTGGAAATTAAACCCAATACATCCAAATACAATGTTAGCAAAGGTTTTGCAGAGAGCGAGAGCTGTATGTCGGTTTGTGTTACTTCTTCAGTCACTGGCTTAAACAGCCTTTAAAGCAGCCAGTGATCTTTGACCCTTATTCACGCTCGCTGTCACTTCAGCTCTAAAGCCCGACAACAAAGGGCAGCTTTTGTTCCTTTAAATTACTCTTCCGTGCACATTCCTTGCTCCTCACTCTGCTGTGTGTAGAGGACTGGGGTTAGTGCAAACTGAAACTGTCTAAGGTGAAAAAAACCGACAAAATATTCAGTCTACTGTGAAATGGGGGTGTGCAAGATAATGATGTAAACTTGACTTTGAGTCGGAGTTCAGTGATAGTTGAACCAAAGAAAGTGCTGTGCAAACACTCACTCATTCCAAAAGGAGATTGAGACACGAAGAAAAAGCAACAACGTTTGATTCAGGTGAGCAGTCGGCAGTTCAGTTGCTCTAACGTCTTGAAGAAAGGCAGGAAGTGGTCGTCTATTGACAACGTGTTTTACTATACGGAAATCAGGTCATATGGTTTTGAAATTTAAATCTGAAATGCAGCTGATCACCAAATGTGTTCTTTAATAGAATTCAGTCAAATATGTACAGGGCTGTGAAAATATCTGAACAAAGTATTGTGACAATCCGGCCTACAAATGGTATTCTAGTGGCTTCCTTGTTAGGTACAGATCAGATACAAAAACCACACCATTATCAATTAAACCTATTTGTAATACAAAGGAGAATGAAGTTTGAAAATCAATCATTGCCTTTTTTTTTTTTAAATTGCGATTTCAGTCAAAATAATCCAATTTTTTTTTCCAATTGTTCAGCATTATAACACAACCTTCACACAATGCTAATGTTTAGCAGCAGTACTGCGTCTCACTATTCTTATGATAGCGTGATATAGGGCATATCGTTTAGCAGGTTTTTGGTCATAGGCCAAACAAACCACTGGGGAAAAAGGTCATCTATGACGGTGTGCATCAGCCAGGCCGTCACTAAAGTCATGGCAACCCATCCTACAGTTGTTGGTACACGTCCACAAAAGATTCAAACTTAATGATGGTAGAGTCACTGTTAAAAGTTAGTATGGCCATATCCATGGACACAAGGTTCCCTCCCATAAAACCAGATACGTCATGTTGCGTGTCTCTTTTTGGGTGTTTGACATCATGCTTGATATTTTTGGGCCTGTTTATGGTCTTTTTGTGTCTCTTACTGTTTTTTATTGTGTCTTCTGGTGGTTTTACATCAACCACGTCACGGCAGTTGTGTGTCAGTCGTCGGTTATTTGGGGTCTATACTCCTGCTGTCTTGTTTGGTCTTGTTTATTTTTGGTTGTATGCTGTCTTTTTTTGGGTGTTACACAGTATGTGTGTCCTGGTTATTTTGCTCTTTGTGTGACTGCTTTCATTATCTTGAAACTCTTTTGCTAGTTTGGTCTCTTTCATTTCAAGCAAGGCACCTGGCTCATTCAGTCATTTTAGCATGTTACCATCGGAGCTCAAAATGAATACATAATGCTGCACTTCCTTATATCTTGAGTGGCTCAGACATTACTCGTTGCCCACTCTCTGTCTCTCACCCTTATGCTCCGTCTGTGTCACACATTGTTTTGGCTTCCATTGCACTTTGCATGGAGGCGACCAGACTTGTGAAGATGTCGGTATGAGTCATACCCCCATATGATCTGAAGCGGGACCAATCATTGGACCATTTTTACAAAGCAATATACATAGAGGTCAGGTGGCTTATCTGGGTTTTGTGGAGGATATGCATGCATGAACATAACACGCATCCCGGCTCTATATCATGTAGGAGTGACGAGTTCAGTGAAGCAACAAGTTTCAGAATGAGTGTGGGCACTGAAAAATTAGAAATGCTCCACTCTGTGAACAGTGTTCCACACACACACACACACACACACACACACACACACACACACACACACACACACACACACACACGCACTGGGAAGTGAAAGAAAAGGGGAAATTCTTGCGCTGAATTGATGCCTGGGCGTCCTGCTGGGACAATAGAGAGGGTGTGGGGGTAGAGAGAGTTAGTTTACACGTCATGCACTTCAGCAGGTTGAACAATTGTGCGAGAGAAGGAGATTATAGTTGTTTGAGCTGTCAATAAAGGTTTTCTGGTATCCAGGAAATGTCACTTTAATGTTAAATGCACACTTACGCTATGCATTGGTAAGAGGGGCACACAATCACATGTTAACACAAAAGGGTTCTGTGTAGGTGGGGGACATTTTCGCATTCTCTCAAACATTTCTAGAGAACTGAGCCGTCCACTGTGTTCCCCCCCTGGCAGCCTGTGGGTGGGCGACTGGCCGCTCTTCAGTGCCACTAGATTTCTTCTTCATCCATACACTGTCTATATTCAGTGAGGCTGAAATGAGTCAGGCATCCTTCGCCACCAGTGTGACACTGAATTAGTGTTGTACACTCTTGTTGTTCAGTTATGTGTCATTGCTTTCCCCGAAACGTGCTTACGCCTGATTTGGTTTCACTTTAGCCCGTGTGGACATTGTTCAAAGTATGCCATCGCTAAACTTAGGCACGTATAGTTTACATCATTTCTTATTACTTTGTTCAAAGAAAATCACTTTAACATCTATTGTTTTATCCTTTGATTTTCTGTCAGTTGGATTTGAGATATCAAACTGAACAGTTACATAATAAATGTAAGACGTTGTATTACTTCTAACAATATGATGTCGTCTTATTAGTGGCTTTTATTTCAGTATTGTAATCTCTCTGGTTGATTTGGGTCATTGTGTAATGAATGTGTTAATGTTGGAGAGTTGATCTTGTGATGTGTATTTCTTGTTGTTTTAATGCATTTTGAATGTCAGAATGAACTGCTGTTTTCAGTTGTGTGTCCGTAAAGAGAACACTTTGAAAAAGAGAACCCACAAAAAAAGTGCAATTTGAAACCAATGACCAGAAAAATGGGTTTACAAGCTGAAATACTGTCTTTTACAAAGTCAACAAACAGCCTTGTCTATATCTGTGAAGTTTCCATCAGTGTTTTTTTCTTACAAATGCATGCTGGGTAGTTTTCCCTATCTTGCATTACCAAAGTGAACAACAATAGCCGAGTTTACTGAGACACAGCAGGGTATTCAGTAGATCAGATCACAAAGATATGAAAGGTACATTTGATATACTCTTCTCTTGACCCTCAAACTGATAACGCCGTTGGTTTGAGAGGTATTTGTTGCGATTGATTCGGGGGAAAAGCAGTCCTGCTCCTTTGTTTCCACAACAATTGCAGATTAAATAGCAAAACTAAAAAAACACAAAATGAGAAGTTTCATTCTTAGATAACATGACGAAAAACTAAGTGACCTTCTGGTACTCTCTTAAATAACTGCCAGACAATGTTACTTTATCACAAAATATATAGATGTTACCTTTAACCCCTTTGTATTGTAATTGTAGATGGAACCCACGTTGCTGTTGGTTTATGTAGACCTCGGTGCACCCACGGCATGTTGCTTTAGCATAGTAGACCACTACCACAGCTGTAGGCTGCTTGACTGTGTCTTTGGTTGTTGAGAGCCACTTAACCAACGCTAGGCTGCACATATAAGCATGTGTAAATGCCAACCATTATTAGTTATTGAACTCAAGAGCACCCGAGGCATGATTTTCACGGGTTAATTCCATTCTGCATGAGGATGAGTTCATTGCATAAACCACTGAGAAGTCCCGCCTTAACACCCTATTCCGCACACTTTTATTGTCACTCTTGAATTGATAGAAAAGGGAAGTGCCAAACCACAAAAGAGAACCATATGATGCCGTGTGAAATATTCAATAGTTGCTGTTTCACATGATCTTCACGCGCTTTAACTGAAGTGAAAGTAGGGCTGTGCGATTATGGCAAAAATCATAATCACGATTATTTGGGTCAATAATTGATATCACGATTATTTTGACGATTATTCATTGACCATTTATTGAACTTTAAAACAAATAATATTTTACCAATAAACAAGATCAAATATGTTGGAGCGCACTTCCAAAACCATACTAAACATATATTATTAATATGATAAATAAAAATAAATTAGACCAAAATAAATTAAATCCAACATGTTGCAGTGCACTGTCACAACCTACTGAAAACTCCTTAACATATAGCCAACATGTTGGTAAAACATATTCAACATATTCCACTCAGTTAAACGTTGAAGGCTGGCCCACCGTCATGGTCCAGAAGTAACAGGAAATAAATGTTGAACTACAATTTAAGACCAAATAAAAATGTTTAGGCCACCATGACAAATGCTGGTAGGGCTGCTCATGTCATCTCTTAAAGATGTTTTGCAAGAAACACCAGCCTGTTGACATGGTCTGGTTTCAGAGATGAGCGCAGGCAGGTGACAATATTGCCACCTGTACTGAAGACCCTCAGCCACGCCCTGACACATGGGTGACGCCGGCCAATCACAAAGCTTTGATGCGTTCAAGTGCATTATTCTGGCACAGGAAGATTATGTTACAGGACATTAACGATAAAACAGAATATTGTTGTTCTATTTTTAGACACATCTCGCGATCGACTGGTTGGGCACCCCTGGGCTAGACCATAGGTCTGTTGTGGTCGCAAAGTAGTCAGCTGAAGCCACATCTCTCTCAACTTCCCCACGGCATTTGTCACATAGCGCAGGCAGCGCAGACCTGCTGAAATAATACCGAGACGGCATCGCGTAACGCTTGTCCAACGTGTTGACAAGTTGCTTAAAGCCCTGGTTGCTAACAGTGCTAACTGGGCACATATCTTTAGCGATGTGGAATGTAATGGCACCTGTAATATCTCTGTGTCTCTGCGAGCTCGTCGCGTAGGCCGTTGCTCTGTACAATGCGTCCTGAATCGATGACTGTGATGATGTGGTGGATGAAGTCGAGCGGGCATCTGCTTTTTGTTGTATTACTGCCCGGTCGTATTGCACTTTGTGGTTGTATTTCAGATGATTAAAGAGATTGGTTGTGTTAGCGTGTGGTGCCAACACAACCTGGTAACAAATCCTGCACTGTACTTTGTTTTGCTCCACGTCGGACTCCTGAAAGCCAAAGTACTTCCAAATAGTGGAAATAGTTTGACCCTTCTTTTTAACGAGTTGCTGCTCTTGATCTGACATCTTCGCTCGCGCTGAACACTCACAACACATGTCACTCCCACGTGGCCGAGTGGGCTTTCAGGGAGGGGCGAAAGCGCACCCAGCAAAAATAATCGTATTTTGTCAATTATGCTGTTTTCATAATCGTCGCAAACCATAATCGCGATTAAAATACGATTAATTGCACAGCCCTAAGTGAAAGCATATCATATTTTTTTTAAATGTAGAATGGTTTATTACAGTATGTAAAAAATAATTAGTTTTTCTTCCTGATAATACATTTGAATTGAAAATCACCTTTTTAAAGACAGACATACTTCAGAGTTCAGTTTGAACTAAATCTGAATTTGGGTTGGAGCTGGTCAGTTCCACAGATCCTACACCAGGATTTATCTGATGCAAAAACCCCACCTAAAACAAGCCGGTGTAAATACTGCCTGATCATCATAATGCACAACATCAATTCAAACGCATAGTGAAAACTGAAATATATAACTTAACCCACAAAATACATACATATAAAATATGCTTTGGCAACAGTTTGGTCTTCATGAATGTCCCTCATACTATTTAATCACACATTTATTTATTTTTGTCTTTAAACATGACATTTAAAAACATAAACAAACACACATAACTTTTGCTACAAAGCTCAGCCATGGGTCAAACGTGTATAATAATTTGATTTGGCTCCACTAACCTAATGCCAGAAATAAATGTGTTTTTTAAAAGTGTTGCCAATGTCAAGTTTTCAAAAGTCTTAACACTAAATAAGAATCACCACAACTACTTTATTCATCCCAGGGGACATTTGGTTAAGTGACAGTTGCTCCATTTTAGAATGAAATCTAATGAATGATAAGTCAAAAAATAAATATGTATAGAAACCTAAGAAGGGGCAATACATAAAAAAATATAGAATAAAGATATTTATATAAACACAAGTTAAAGCCTGGTGAAGCTATGAACCTAGGTGTGTTCTAATTTAAACACCATTCAATTTCAAGCAAATCTCATAAAGGACACTTAAACAGTGTTTTGCAATCCAAAAGCCTGAACTGTTGGTACAGTTTCATTGCAGTTGTTCATCGACATCGTGACTTCTGTAGTGAGACTTTTGCTGTTTTGAGGTTCCAGACAGCCTTTGAAAGATTGCTATGTGCAGGGAATTTAGCAGGATACCATCCTATATAAGCTAAAGGTTAACGAGCTAGATCAAGTCCCAACAGGAGATATATGCTGCTCGCACTGCTGATTTTGTGTAAAGAACTTTGAAACACATGAATCAGACTGATTACATTCAAAGTTAAGGGATGCAAGCTACTGTTAAAGTGTCACAACAAGTTCAGGATTTCTACGTTTTGCTGACATTTCTGTGTATTTTTGTTTATCAGTCTGTCTATGAGAGGTTGTCCACGGCTCTGTTTCTGCTCGAGTATCAGGTGTGTGCTTCAGCTAACCCTACAATTATAAATAGTCCACTGACCAGCAGCCCCCCACCCCCCAAACCCCCCAGAATATGCAGCTTGATATTTTTTTATTTTTCTCTCAGTTTCTGTCCGTCTGTCTTTTTCTCTGTGGTTCAACCTGTTGCCATCTCAAGATGTTGAGCCGACGACCGCGGCTGCTGTGTTTCCCCTTAAAAAGCTACCGTCTGGATGTAGACAGTACTAGACACACATCCCACTATATATGTCGCACACGCACGTAACTCCACAGTCATCACAGATCCAGTGTTTATTTGATGTGTTTCAAATAGCAACGTGTGACCACAGTGAATGTGCCAGTGTTGTGACAAAGCTGAGTTATCATACTGCTAGCAGCAAGAAAACCTTGAAGTCTGGTCGCTGACGACTGTCTGTATGAATTGTTTGATGACAGAGTTGTGTGTGTGTGGTAAATTGACACACGTCTGTGTGGTAACACTCACATGATTCTCAGGATGTCTAATTTGATGCAAAGTTGTGTTTTTTCTGGGAAATCCATGCTCTTATTGTCTGTGGTGTGTTGATATAAAAACAAATCGGCTATGTTACTTATTACTTGCTAGTGTGAAGGAAAGACTGCATTGTTGGAGGGCTTGGCTGAATGTGTGTGCGTCAGTTAAAAGGAAAGACTGTTTCCATTGATAACAGCGCAGAAAGGTCCCCTGTGTATTTTCGGCATGAACTCATTTGTATTCATTGATAAGAGTGTAGATAAGAAAGCAGTAAGAATTATATCATTTAAAGAAACGTGTTCAGTCTAACCAATGCTGCCTCGAGATAGAGACTTTTTGTTTTATTAAGGATGTGTGTTTGGAAAGAAAGAATGTTAGATATGTTTTCCTTTTATTGAAATGTGCCTTTTACAGTTTGGCTTTTTCCTTGAATCCTCCACTTTACCAACAGCACGTGCAGTGGTGGGCGTTTTTAATGTGTTGCCTATGCAGAAATAACATATATATATATATGTGTGTTCCTCTTTTACAACTGCATTTCTTTCTCACCAACAGCAGCAGTTAGAAATGGAGCCCCGACTAATGAATAATCTGAGGGTGGTGCTCCTCTTCTTCATCCTCATCTCTACAGGTAAGATAAGCACACATGGAAAAAAGCACCTTTTATCTTAAGAAGCTTTTTTAAACTCCTTTTCATTGTCTCAACAGTGTTGCTCAACTTTATGCTTGTTTGTGTACGTGGTGTTTCAGACGTATTCAAGACTAGACATTCTAATACAATTTATGATAGACTTCAAGGTTCAAGGTTCTTTATTGTCAAACTAACATAGCTACAGAGTACTTATGTCGTTGAAAATCTTAGGTCACAGGCTTCTCCAACAATGCAACACAATAATACAGATAAGCAGACAATAGTAAAACAATATTAAAGTATACTATATTAAAAGTAATACAAAAAGAAAAATAGTTTTTTAAAAAGTGAGAAAAAAAAAATACAAGTTATTGGAATGATATATTAGATAATAGATAAATAATTACTAAGTAGCAGATGAATGTTATGAAATAGTTTCAGTTGTTTAGCAGTCTTATTGCCTGCGGGATGAAGCTGTCTCTGAAACTTCTAAAATACACAACATGTTTATTATGACAGACAACACCATTTCTCAGGTAATGGTATAACTCATGAGCCAATTGCCTTTCTTTTTTATGTTTAACAATATACGATAACTGTAACATTGTGAGAATTAGGCACCTGAAGTGCCTCCTTTTTAAAACAACAAGAAGGATCATTTTGCAGGCAAAAAGGAACGCTTTTATCAACAGCAATGTGCAATTAACCATAAAACATACAAACTCAGACCAACAAGAAACATGCAGGTGCATCCGCTTCAAAGCCAACCCATTTTAAGTGCTACATATTCATACCTTTTATGGCCAAGTACAAGCAAAACAGGCTGGTTTTCAGTGTGCAACAGAAAATGTGTAACCTTTCTGCTGTCCTCTCTGAGGTAAATTAAAGCATGGTACCAGTAAAGGTCATTTAAATGTTGAGGTTGTCAAATGAACTCTCAGACACTGACTGAAACACCTGCATGTGTATATTTACACATCACTTAACACACATCACAAATGTTTTGTTGCACGCCAAAGGGGCTTTTATTCGTTGCAGCAACAACTCATGCATTTTCTTCTTGCATCAATAGCTGCTTTCACACCAAGTACTTTGCCGTCCTTAGTTCCCAGTACTTAGTCCCGCTGAACTCTTTAGTCCCGGAACTGTCCAAGTAAATCGCGTTCACACCGGAATAAGTCCCTGAGGGAGGATTACGCAAATGAGCCGCTGACGTCACTTCTTCTTCTTCTGCTTTGGGTTTACTGGCAGGCCGCAAACAACTTCACGGTGCATACTGCCACCCGAAGTCCCGGAGTCCCCCGGAGTAGGGGACTGGCTTCAGTAGAAGCTTCTGGGTCGTGTCTTCCGGGTAAATCGCCAGAAGCGCAGACACCTCCTCATAATTCCACCGCTCCCGTGTTTTATTTTGTGTTGCCATGTCTTTCTCCGTTGGTGCACTGGCCTAATGCTAATAATGCTAATGCGAGCAAATAAAATGGCGGCTTCACAAGACTTTTCGGAGTTTTACGAGGCGTGGTTTGCAATTCACCCAGCCAATCAGAAATTGGAACCTTTTCCTTCCCAGGAAAGTACCACCTCTCGAGCAGGGACTGAAAAGGGGTGAAAAGGTTCCCATGAACTAGGTTCTAGTTCCAGATGTTTTTGATGTGAAAGCAAAATCCCAAGAACTATCGGAACTATTCCTGGGAAAAGTACTCCGGTGTGAAAGAGCCTAACGCTTCCATTCCGCAATTCGACATGTACTATAAGCTGGGTGATAGGGCTCTCCCGAATACCATTTTTCGGGCTCCGGATATTCTGTAGTAATCAGCAGCGAACCGCTTCAACACGTGTATTTCGTTTTTTTTTTCACGCCATTGTTATTCTACAGTATTGTTGTTTTATAGTTATTTGTTAATGTATGTAAACCAATTTGTGTTCTTTGAAATTGAAAAGGATATTGCATTGTGTTTGTTACTTTCGTTGCAGTTGTGTCTTAAGTGTAATTTGGCTTGGCTTCCTATTTCGTATGGACATGCTTTTATTTTGAAGGAGAGTTAGCGCTGTTGACAGGAAGTTGTTGTTGCTATGGAAACAACGTGATGGAGATTAACGGAGAAAAAGTAATATCTATATATATATAATATAAAGACAGAGAAAGTAAACGATAACGTTTATGGTTAAGTGTTAGCACCCCCCGAAGAGACGCAAGCTCTTACGTTGATATTGGAGTTTTCAATAAATTCAATTTGAAAAAAAGAAACGAATAACGAAATTGAAACCCGAATAGTACTCCAACAAAACGAATATTCGCATATTCGAGCCCTACTGGGTGACAATTTTTGTTACTACATTTAGAACCTCCACAATGTTTTATCACCATTAATTGAGCGTATAAGGATATTGGAAAATATATTGGAAAAATAACACTCAATCAATGTTTTTTTTTTTTTTATGACCACTTTTTTGTTGTGTGAGCTCATCAATGTATTTCAGATAAATTATACCAAACATCAATCCAATGTGTGACTACGTTTTGTCTCTTTCAGCTTCCTGTGAAAATGACCTGGACTTGAAGTTTTGTGGCTTGTGGCAACACGGTAAGGGCAGTCTGAGTCTGAACGTCAACCTCTCCAAAGGCTGCAGCGGGATCTCAGTCTCAGCCAATCAGAGCGCTCTGTCCATCGAGGGCCAGATCACAGCTCAGTGTAAACAGGCCAATGAGATCCAGCTTGGACTGAATTTGAAGGAGGAAACTCCCTTCTGTCTGTACTGGGACCCATTGCTGGACCACTTGATGCTGCAGGTAAATCAGAAAAGAAGGAGGCTAGCAGCAGATTTGTTGAGGAATTTCCATGCAGTGGAATCTAACCCTGGCTTTTATTTTTGTTGTACAGGTGGGAGGAAAGAACCTGACTCTGTGCTACCCTGGCAGCCTAAAGGGTTCCTCCTGCTGCACCGATCTGTCTGACGGTCCCAAAGCAGACCAAGCCCCCTACGGCATCAAGAATGGAATCATCAAAACTGATTTCATCTCCTCTAAAACACGAACTCACTACAATTTCACAGCACAACCAATCAACTGCAGTAAGAGAGAATATTATCTACAGCTCATATCTGTCTATATGTAAATTCAGCTACTCAGTGTTTTGTTGTATCTTATTGTTGTTATTTGTTTACTTTTCCCTGCTGGAGGTGTTATCTGTGTTTCATTTTGTTATTCTGTTGCTGCTTTGACACAAACTTTCCCCACAGGGATTAATGATGCTCTATCTTATATTTTCTTTTCATTTTCTATCCTATCTTATTTATTTTCTGATTGTACATACATTTTCTGTATGGTTTTATAGGTCACTGCTTGTTAAAATGTTCCTTTTGTCCAGGGTGAATGTTATCCTTTTAAAGATGGTTTTAAAATTGTCTTTAGAGTCATACAAACTCCAATTCCAATGAAGTTGGGGCATTAAGTAAAACGTAAATAAAAACCGAATACAATGATTTGCAAATACTTTTAGACCTAAATTCAATTGAATACACTACAAAGATGAGATATATAATGTTCAAACTGATACACTTTGTGAACAGGTTAATTGGAAACAGGTGAGTGAAGCGGAAAAGGACCATCCAGATTGTTATCAGCGCAAAGTTCAAAAGCCAGCATCTGTGATGGTATCGGGGTGTGCATGGGTAACTTGCACATCTGTGAAGGCACCATTAATGCCGAAAGGTACATACAGGTTTTGGAGCAACATGTGCTGCCATGAAAGAGACGTTCCTGCTTATTTCAGCCAGACAATGCCAAGCCACATTCTGCACATGTTACAACAGCGTGGCTTCGTAGTAAAAGAGTGGGGGTACTAGACTGGCCTGCCTGCAGTCCAGACCTGTCTCCCATTGAAGATGTGGGGCGCATTATGAAGCGCAATATACGACAACGGAGACCCCGGACTGTTGAGCAACTGAAGTCGTGAACAAGAATTGGAAAGAACTCCACCTACAAAGCTTCAACTATTAGTGTCCTGAGTTCCCAAACGGTTAGTCAGTGTTGTTAGAAGGAAAGCTGATGAAACACAGGGGTAAACATGCCCCTGTACCAGCTTTTTTGGAACGTGTTGCAGGTATCAAATTCAAAATAAGTTAATATTTAAGTTTATCAGTTTGAACAACACATATCTTGTCTTTGTAGTGTATTCAATTGAATATAGGTTGCAAAGGACTTGCAAATCTCTATTCTTTTTTTAGCGTCAAAACCCCGTGGCGCAATGAAAGTGAGGGACGGCGCGCGCGCGGGCTGAGGTGGGATCCCGGCCCCTCGGGGCTGGGCGCACCACCGGCCCGCACTGTCGGGGAGGTGGAGCGTGAGCGTGTGCGATAGGACCCGAAAGATGGTGAACTATGCCTGGGCAGGGCGAAGCCAGAGGAAACTCTGGTGGAGGCCCGTAGCGGTCCTGACGTGCAAATCGGTCGTCCGACCTGGGTATAGGGGCGAAAGACTAATCGAACCATCTAGTAGCTGGTTCCCTCCGAAGTTTCCCTCAGGATAGCTGGCGCTCAGAGTCTCGCAGTTTTATCTGGTAAAGCGAATGATTAGAGGTCTTGGGGCCGAAACGATCTCAACCTATTCTCAAACTTTAAATGGGTAAGAAGCCCGGCTCGCTGGCTTGGAGCCGGGCGTGGAATGCGAGCCGCCTAGTGGGCCACTTTTGGTAAGCAGAACTGGCGCTGCGGGATGAACCGAACCGTCCCAACTTCATTGGAATTGGGGTTTGTATTTCAAGTGTCATGTTTTAACGTTTTAAATCCCCAGCTGTGCTTTTCTTTTTGCAGAAATGTTATGTGATCAACAGAGCCAGCAGTCCACCAGAGGCAACATGTAATTTCCTCTCTTTTGTTCTCCTAACGCACCGTCACAGTAACCGTCAACATCCTTTGTCACATGGCGTTGTGTTAATTTCTAAGGCCTCTTTAGTGAAGCCTATGTAATGAAATGCACTACAAACAGGAAGCTAAACTGTATACTATTTTAGGGTGGTGGGGAGGGGGGTTACAAAAATATGCTTGCTCCTTTACCATCGAAAACCACCGTTTTTAACGTAGTATCATGGTGTGTGTCCAGGACTGAACGGGCTGCGGTGAAGTCCTTCGCTGGTTGGAACATCGAGCATCCCTGCGCTCGCAGCTCCGAGGTGGAGATGACGGAGGATTTCAGAGGCGTCAACGTCACATCGCCTGTAAGACTAAGCTTCAAGATTCAAAGATATAATGGCTTTATTTTCATTTGCACAACAGTTACAGTGTAGTACTAAAGACATTAAAATAAATAAAGATGTTAAGTAGTGCAAGTGAGATGCCGGAACAAGTTAATGTTGTACACGCATAATCAAATAAGACGAGACATATTGTAACATGAAATACTGTACAGTAGAACAATTACTTAGATGTAGACTGTTATCAAATGTAAGTGACTTATATCTTCTTTTTTTCAGCACATTACAGACCTTATTCATGTTTTAAAGGCTCAGTGTTATAAAATAAATATAACAGAAAATGTACTTAAAAGTATTTCTGAGGCACCAGAATCGTATGCATTGTAAAAAAAATCCAAAGTCCAGGCAAGAATGTCTTTTTGTGCAGTTTATTCCAAGAAACAAAGGGTTTATCATTATTGCCTTGCATCGCCAGGTGCCCAAAACCACCTTCACAATAAAAGCATATAGAATGACTTTAACTAAAATAATTACACTAAATAATAATAAATGAATGTTAGAAAAAGTCAAGAAAATAAATATTTAACTATTACAAATTATAAATAAACATATAGCTCCAACACGCAGATTCAAAGACGTGTAAAGTAAACGGCACTAAAGAAAACAAACTTTCTACAAGGTCCATTTGTTTGCTTTTTATCGAGTCATCGAGTCATCATAGCATAATGTACATAAGAGCAGAAGAATAACTTCACACTTCAGAATTCCCACTGAAATGTCGTGTCACAGCCACATCAGCAGGATTTCATAACAGTGTTTCCATCTTAGTTTCATTTTAGCTGCATATCCAAAAAATGACACTAATTTCCTGGGACACAACAGAAACTGAAACGCATTACTTATGTATTTCCTTATGCATGCTTTGCTGTAAATTGAAAGGGTGTATAAGCAATCGTTCATAACACTGAAAGCAAGTGACTTCATGCCAGAAAACAAAGAAAGCTGCTATAAAGATGAATTAAGAAGTTCAATTGTATTTGAACAGAAAGCATGTCCGGGTAGAGACGGTAAAGGATTTAGTTATTTCTGAAATTGTTCATTAATTCAGTAAAAGTGCCATTGACTCCGCAGTATATTACAGGTCAGCTGAGTGGGCAGCATCTCTGTGACTGTGCACGTCCATCTTTAATCAGAGGCTAACTTTATAGCAGGTTTCAAACTCAGTAAATGAGTAACTTTTAACATTATATTTAAGTCAAGAGTGGTGGTGATTTAGTTGAGAAAATAGGTGAGAGGGTAACCACATGAAAGTGAACGATACAAGCATTTTACTGACAAGGACAGGACAGATTTTGGAAGCTGGCATTTTTCCTTCCTAACTATCTTAAAATAGGGCCATTTGTGTTAAGTGCCCAGCAATCCACATGCAGATGTACTCATTACAACTCTCACAAACAGAGCAGAGGCTGCTTCAACTCATTGATTTAGCTCCAAATATGTTTGACATTGTTCCTGCATCCTGTATTTATTGCAATATGAAGAACTGATGTTCTGTTTATGGTTAAGGGTTATCCAGTTCACTTTTCTTGCATTTACTAAAATTGACCCACTCTAACTTTTCAATGTATTGTTCCTTTTCTCTGTTTTCAGTTCTCTAAAGGTGAATCTGCAGAGTCCGCTACCACTGTCCACCTCCCTCCCGCTCTGAAAGAAGCTGCAAAAAAGTCAAACAAAGTAGTCTGCACTTTCTTCCAAAATAACTCTTTGTTCCAGGTAAGGCTCTGATTGCACGCACCTTTCTGTCTGCATGAATCACGCGAGCATGAAACACTTAAAGAGAGGACATTTTATGCCCATTTTCAGGTTCATATTTGTATTTAGTGGCTCCACTGTGACATGTCTCCATGCTTTAATGTTCAAAAAGCTCTTTATTTTTCTCATACTGCTCTTTTCCCCCTCTGTCTGAAACCAGAGCCCAGTCTGCTCTGATTGGTTAGCTGGACGGCTCTGTTGTGATTGGTTAACCACTAAGTCACCAATGTACAAGAGAACATCAGAAATATATAGGTTGTTTTTGCTGTTGTTGACACCTCGCCTAGCTTTGCATGGTGGGATCAATCTAGTCACACATTAGATTTTTATTTTCACAAATCAAATGTACTTGGTAATCAGATTTAGGAATAAGTGCATACTTTTGCTACATTGCTATGAATCGTGCCTATTCAGAAAAAAACAATATAGTGATATTGAGGAGATGAAAGCTTTTGTGAATCAGGAAGTGGAACACAATTGACAAATGTTCAATGCTGTTGCACCACAGTGGCAGTGGCTCAGTCAGTAAGGGCTTGGACTGGGAGCTGTAGGGTCGCCGGTTCAAGTCCCCGACCAGACCTCAAATATGGAGTGTTACTTGGAGAGGTCCCAGTTCACCTCCTGCCCTGCCGTGGTGCACTCGAGCAAGGCGCCGGACACCCCCCTTCCCCCCTCACTCCCATTGCTCCCCGGGCGCTGTACAATAGCTATTCACTGCTCCTGGTACTAGACTCCTGGTACTAGGATGGGTTAAATACAGAGAACACATGTCACTGTGTGCTGTGTGCTCTGCATGTGAGACCAATTATATCACCTTTGCGGGTGATGTGAGATGATCTTGCAAAGTAAAGCAATCAGTGGTTCCTTGTCAAAAATGTAATTTCTCTTTAGAATTTCTGACAAATATGTCGGGTGTGTTATATCATCATATGTATATCAATGTTTTTGTTTGTGTTCCAGGAGGTTGACAAGGAGGCCAGGATTCTTGATGATGTGGTGGGAATCACCGTGGAGAACGAGATCATCGTCAATCTTTCTGAGCCAATCAGGATTGCCTTTCACCATGATGTCATACCTGTACGTTTCAGGGTTTCCGCTAGGATTTTTTCTCGCCGGTCAAATGTCCGGGCAGAATTTATTTTACCGGACAAATTTGAAACTTACCGGTCATATTTCACTAATAATTATAAGAGTTGTGTAGCAGAGTTTCCGTTAGCAGGTAATTACCGGACTATGAGCAGATATGCTGATGTTTAAAACTCAGTTCACGGGGCTCATTTTTATATTGCTTCAGTTTATAATCGTAACAGATCGAAAAATTCAGATTCATTTTTCAATAAATTATTCCACAAACAACAAACAACATAATTATTACATTCAAACTAACTACTTGTAGTAGATGAAGTACATTATTCAAAAGTTTACATCAACTTTGAATAATAACAGGGGAGAAACGAATCCTCTCTCTCCCCCTCTCCCTCCCTCTCCCTTCCTCTCTCTCTCCTGACAGCCCGTCAGTTTCTCATGCAGCTCCTGCAGCTCGCTAAACAGTGGGCGGGGCTTCAGGTGATCATGCAGAGCTGCGTGTCTCGGTCTGACTCAGCAGCTGATCTGATCTCTCTCTCGCGTCCGGTTACACTTCACTCGCATTTATGTCCATATCGATCAGATCCAGCTCTCCTGATCGGCCTTTATAGAGAGCACCGATCAAACTATTAAGAGTGAATATCGGCCGATAATAACCGGCGGCCGATCTATCGGAGCATCCCTAATTATTACCAGACATTTTGACCGGCAGGTTTTGAATTTACCGGTTTTGAATAAATTTTACCAGCTAAAAACCGGTAATTACCGGCTAACGGAAACCCTGGTACGTTTGTGTTTTCTTTAATCTCAATTATCATTCTGAACAGTGACCACTTTATATTGTCTTAAAGATCTCCTATCATGCTATTTTTGGTATGTATATATATATATATATATATAGGGTCTCGGATATATACAAATATGTAAAAAACATGTCTATGATGTGTTTTGCTCAAAATACCAAACAGATCATGCATTTTAGACATCCCTCATATCCCTCTATCCCAGGCCTGTTAGAGAACGGCTGATTCTGGGTCCTTAGCTTGAAAAATACATACAGCTAAATGCTGCCGTGATTAAACGCCATATCATGTTCCAAATCACACAAAGGATTATTTCTGAAACAGTATGGAGCTCAAAAGCTTTTTCTCTTGCGGGTTTATCACAAGGTGAGTTCCTCTTTTTTTCCCCTGCTTTTTACACAGGGTGTTTCTCAATGTCGAGGAAGGCTGCTCCAGAGCCACTATTTCAAGCATACTACGTCATCGAGTGCTGCCGAAGGACTGTTCCAATGTCCAGCATACTTGGAATTCTACCAAGGCCGGCGTACTTCGTAGCGAGAAATTTAGAGGCTCCGCGGTCTTAAAATCCCCACAATGCTTTGCGCACGGACCAATTTCCAAATCTTTGCCGGAAATCGCGCTCCATTTAAGGCCGGGCCACGCATATGACGCACACCTGCACACCTGTTAGCCTGTTCCACAATTCTTCGATTTCCAAGGCTAGGAAGGATTCTTGCTTCGCTTCTGAAGCAAGTGACTCGGAAGACATGTGCTACCAAGCAAGCCTCCTCGACATTGAGAAACACCCACATACTCTCTCCAGTACAGGTTAGCTCTGAGTGTTTCCCCTAGATTCCACCGGGTCCATTTGCGCCGTGTTACGGCTGCGCCGCGGCGTTCACAGCGATTGCAGCCACTCGAGTCAATGGGTGCTATTCCACCAGACGCGCCACGTTGCGGCTAGAAGCGTTACGGCTAGAAGCGTCCCAGAAGCGTCTCGGCGCTGGGCTCCGCTAAAAATAGGCGGCTGGTCTATTTTCGACGCGAGGTGTTGCATAGCGCCGGACAGAAAGTGGAACGGTCAGAGCATCCAGTCAATCCCCAAAATAAACACATTTAGCAGACCCTATCACTCCGTAGTCTTTCAAGTAGGAGAATAAATGCCAGCGTTCTCCTCCGGTTTACTGGCACGGTGTACATTTTTTATATATATAGAATAATTATGATGATGAATGCATTTTATTACCACTAAAATACAGTAACACATCTTGTCGTTTATAACTGGACTATTACAATCATTAACTTTGTCTGTACAAAGTAGCCTGTCCAGGAAATATGCCCAAATCAACAAAAACTGCGAGCCGGCACGCAAGACGTTCCGCTTCTGAAACGCGCCCGGTTGGGTATGGCGCTGTAGGAGGTCGGACCAAAACCGCGGCGCAGCCGTAACACGGCGCAGACGGACCCGGTGGAATCCTGGGGTTAGCGATGCTTGCTAATGTAAACAAAGACCATATAAAGTCCAAACCACGTCAAGCATTGTTTCTGATGGCAACGTTTATGATTCAGATATTACGTCATACCGAACGCAAATCTGGATCAGCTCCGTTGTACCCCCGTGTTTAGAGATTTGGGTACGGAGGAAAAGAGAGTTTTATTTTCTGACACTTTGAGTTCCCTGACACACCGGGGACACATATTTATGTGCATTTTGCATGATAGGAGACCTTTAATCTGTACTTTCATACTGTATTTCTAACAAATTTGGTAAACAATATAAACATAAAATCTCTCGTACAAAGTTCAGCAAGTATTTTGATGCTACATAGATTTTGGTGAACTCAATTAAAGAAACGTCTGGTGGTGCACGTCATGCTCATTGTTTACCTTCGGCCACAGGAGTATATTGTTTTTATGAAAAGCAGAGTTGGATATTTCTCACAAACTTGCAACAAAATGTTATTTCAAAACGAGACACTTTTTTTTTGTTCAGTGACGTCTGCTTTAGGCAGTCTACCTCAACAAGACACAGAAACCACTTGTGAAGTAAGAACAGTAACTTTCATCTCGCAGAAAACCAATGCTGCTGTTTGTAACTTCCTCTCTGCAACGCGCACAAAGCCACCATGTCTGGTTCACATTATTTCTTACAGTGACACGCAACAAGCCAGATTTTGCACGTAGGTCTTAAATGAATGCAACTCTTTCAATCACTATAGAATCAAATTCTGCAGTGGTTACCTTTTTAAAATGTCGTAAATATGAATACAAATGGCCTGAAGATTAAAAGAATAAAACTCACATCTCTTTTTTTGTTTTTGTTTCAGAAAACGCATTCAAGGAGTTGTGTTTCATGGGACACGAGGAAAGGTAGGAAACCTTAGAACAGCCGAACAAGCAATATTAATTTGTCAGAAATATAATTTACTGTAACTCCCCGAGATGTTTATTAAGTACAGTACGTGTCAATCTGTGTTTTCTTTGTGCAGATCCGTTGCAGGTCAATTGGTTAGGAGATGGATGTGAGGTCGGACAGAAAGGAGAAAAGTACACTGAGTGCCTCTGTAACCATCTGACATACTTCACTGTGCTCGTGGTGAGATACAAACAGGAACACTGCTACTGCCTTCACACAAGAAACAAACACATGTGTACTTATCAATTGTTCCGTATGTGACCTACAGTATAGTTGGCATGCCCACATTTTGGAGAAAAACACAGTTACGGGAGTTAAGGCATCTAATCTAAGCAGTATACAGCTGCATATGAAGAACCAGCAACACTTGAGACATCTAATATACAAATATATATCAGTTTAAATATACGCTATATTAAGAATATTTGTAACCCTTTACTTTACATATATAACGGCTTCAGTTCCTTGTCAGAAAGGGCTGTTATCTTCCTCTTCCAAACTACCAGACTCCATTGATAAAAAATGCAATTTTACCATGCCAATACAGAAGTTGCCCGTCTACTGTTGCCTAGATACTGGTTAGATTGTGTTATTGTATGACTTTGGTGAATCTGAATAACCCTTTAAAAGCACCAAAGTCTCACATTAAGAAACACTAACTGTTGGAGGCAGTTTCCTGCGAGGTAACATGACTGTTTTTGTATGCAGTATGGTGGCTTTGAAGATAGCATAGGACAAGTAGATATACAGTAACTAGTTCACTTCAGCTTTGCTCATGTGCCGTAACTCATGTGTGTTTCTAAAAACTTGGGGCGTACCAACCACAATCTACTACACTGAGTATGGATGAGTACATATACAACCCCACTTTGAACAAATACGAACACTTATTGAGGAAACTGACATTTGGAATAGCAACACATTATGTTGGTGTATGAATTCCTTTCTTTGTTTCCCCCTGACAGCAAATAAAGCCTCGCCCAGTGCGCCACCTCCTGGCTCTGACTGCCATTTCATCTCTGGGCTCTGCTGTGTCTGTGATCAGTTGTGTGGCTGTCATCGTTTTTCTCGCCAGGAAAAGGTATTACTTATTTTTAAGGGATTATATAAAATATACTTAGATTTTTCCTTACAATTAACCCTGTTATTTCGCTCTCCCTGTAGCAAGCGATGTAAGGAGGCATCTATCCACATCCACCTGGGCTTAGCTGTGTCCCTGGCCTGCCTCAACCTGCTCTTCTTCTTCACCGGGGTCCTGGCTAACGTGGGAGGGGAGAGCGTGTGCGTCTGGGTGGGGGCGCTTCTTCACTACAGCCTACTCTGCTCCTTCGCCTGGATGGGTGCAGAAATTTTCCACACCTTCTGGTTGATCTGCATCATTTTCAACCCCTCCCCGAAGCCCTTTGTGTGGTACACGGTCGGTTTCGGTGAGTACATGAAGATATATTTATGAAATGTAAAATCATGGCACAAACATGATACTAATGGTCGAACTGAAATTGTTTTCTCCAGTTCTCCCTGCTGTTCCCACAGTCATCCTCGCTGCAGTAGGGGACATTTACGGAGTGAAAAAGGTGGCGCCGAGCGATGACATCAACAACCCGTATCTCATGTAAGCAACATTTGTAGGACCAAGATATTTGCTATGGAGAAAAATATGCAGTAATGCTTTAATAGTGTCAACCACAGCAAATAACAAAGTGTTACAACATATTTTTTAGGAAGGAGGATGTAGACATTTCTGTTTTTAGGGAAAGACGATAATTACATAATTCCTGGATTTGATTCCTCCCTCTTTGGGATTATTTGCTTTCCCCCTCTGAGTGCATTTTGGTGTTTCCAGGTGCTGGATGAAAGAGAACCCCAAGGCCTTGCTGGCCCATTATTTCACCAACATGACAGTCACAATGGTCCTGGTGTCCTCGGGCTTTGTGATGCTCTTCATGGTCTACAGAAAGATCCGCACCAGAGAGGAATGGAGGCAGAACCGCAAGGCTTTTCTCAGCATCTGGGGCCTCAGCTGCCTCTTTGGGACCACTTGGGGTCTCACCTTCCTGGACTTTGGACGTCTCGCTGACTTCATGCTCTTCATTTCCTGCATCCTCAACTCCTTACAAGGTCTGAGCTTGCGATATACCGTGTTAGTTATTTAGATAGATATATGGTTGTGAATGTTAGCTTAAATAATAGGTTTTGGGGTTTTCCCTTTACTGTAATGTGTTAGAGGTTTTTGTGCATGAAAATGGTCCGCAAAGGCTAACATCTCAAAGTTCTAGTCAGATGGAAAGAGCATGTTAACATATTACAGGAGAGGCACAATATACAAAAATGAACCTGAACATTTGCATAATAGGGTCCTTTAACATAGCATAAGGAGCTTGGCTATCACATAACTGTCAAAACAGGAAATAGAATTGCCTTTTTACCCATCTTATTAGACTGTTACCCTTGTGCATATCTTTAAAATGTTGAACAATTTCTTGAAATATTTATATGAACATTATTTTCCACTTTCACTTAGTTCAATCTTTTAACCAACTTCAGTCCTATGCCTAACCTACCAAATAATGTGTTATGATTTCCATTTTAAGCTTTGAGAGGCCAGTGTGTATATTTGCCTTATAGGGCAAACATAAGAAAATGGCTCAACCTGGTGGAAATAATTAGAATGACACTTTGAAGCCAGGGCTCTAGATCTAAAGCCATATAACATGTGAGGTGTAAATGTGTTTCTATGGGCGCATCTGTGTCCTTTAGCGTCCGAGTGTCTGTATTTGGCTTTAACACTTTATTATAGAAGCCCAGGTTCAACTTCCAACATTTGAAAAAAGAACTTGAGCCCCTGGAATAAATGAATTACATATGCATTAACACAGTCAAACACAAAATCATGATCTTATCAAAACCACTTTCACCGAAGGTTTCACTTGATATAATCAGGGTTGTTTTGTTGCTGACTATATTTTGAGCCAGTAGCCCATTGTATCAGCGTGGGAACGAGACAATGGCCGTGCTTATCAAGGCCTTCTGTTACTGCTGCCTATCAGAGGAAAAGCTGCTTCCTCTCACATGCAGGGCACTCGTTTTTGAATCGGGTCCAAACAATTCAACACAACCCCATTTTTGCTTCACATTACTTGGTCATTAAGAGCATTTTCTATGCTAACATGCTAACACTAAAGGGCGAGTTATGCTGAAAAGATGAAATAGATAAAGAACACAGATGAATGACTGACCCCTGGTTCTGCCCCCTCCTCTCAGGGTTCCTCCTCATGCTGCGGTTCTACATGCTGGACTGGTTGAGGAAAGAGAGCGGAGGATCGACTCTGGGCACCAGCAGCACCGGCTCCACCCGGCAACACATGCTGAAGGCCCAGGAGCAGGGCAAGAGGGACAGCGAGCAGAGCTGCAGCAGTCACGCTTTGTATGCCAAAATGCAGAATCCTTTTCAAAGAAAATGAAAGAATGTTCCTCCACCGACTGCCACAATGTAGACTGACTGCCTCCCCTGCTGGAGTTCTGTGGGAAATGTAACAACCCACGACTGAAGAGAGAGAAAGCAGTGAGCGAGCTTTCCTACACTTGTTCTAGTATTAGCGGCTTTGGAGCACCCGCTTCTCAGATGGAATGGATTCAACCAGTGTTGTGCATGCACTTGTGTCCGTTGGTCATCTTATGAAGAGTTTGGATCTGTTTTGCAGTAAATAATGTTTGCAGCAAATGAGAAGACAATTCTGGTGAATCCATTTTCTAAGTCTGATCTCAAAATAAATCTCATGTGTTTAGGACCTACTAGAAAAGTAAAAAATAGCTGTTGCCAGTATAATCTTTCCAAGTTCCTTAAGAAGGATGTAAAGTCATTTAGAACATGTGTTGCATGTTACCAGCCTCTTGTGGACAGAATGAGTATTTCCTCAACACATGTAAAAGAAAAGTGTGTTTTCAGATGGAGCCTGTTTGACCTGTTCTTAAGTCGTAAACACAGCAGAGGAAATATTTTAAGTTGGACGTAGGCATGGATACCAAGACTTTGACCTTCTTGTTGCCTCTCAGGGCTTCCATACATTGCACTGATGGAGAGAATCTGAATATAATCAACCTTGCTGGAAGTTTTTTAAATAACATAATCCGCTTTGCAGTCAAAACTGGTTAAAAAAGCCTTGATTCATCTTCTCGTGGACAGTGGAGAAGGTGTGACCCCATCACTCAGGAAATCATAATACAGGCCTGGAGCCTTTATTTATAAAATATCTAGACTGGGTCTAGATATAGAAGGGAAAGAATTTATTTCAGATTTGAAACTGGTAATAAAGTTAAGCTTTCTTTCCAGACAGCGAAACATGAGCATGCTCAATGTTTCAAGTGTCTATGCTGTCATTTCCATTATGTTGTCTACAAAAGAAATATATTATTATTGAAGATCTCCTTGAACCTTGGATAAGCTTTTTATTTGTTTTTTACTGTGTAATTGTTTTGTAGCTAATTGTAAGTCTTTTTAGCACTTTAGATTTTCAATTTTTTTTATTAGACCCTCAGTGAGTTGTCTTTTGTTTTCATGTATGCATTATGCAGAACGTTTCATATTCAGAGCTGAATGTTGTATAATAGATGACTTTTCCAGGCCCTGTTGAGACCTTCAGTAAACATTATATAAATAAAATATAACAGTCTTTCATTTCAACATGTTCCTAATTGCATTTCAATTGAGGTCCTTTGAACAAAACTGATGGCAGAATCTGATTTAAAAACATTTGATATTTCTGTAAATATAATTTCAGTGAATGTTAAGATACTGTGATATTTGCACTTTTTTATTTTTTTCTAATGAAATAATGTCACTTAGATGACTGTATATGATTTTTTGTTGATGTAAATAGACTGTTAATAAAAGTTATTGTGGCATAAAGGAATGAACAGCTGTGTGTGTCAATAAGTGGTTGTACAAGTAAGCACATTTCTGTTTCCCTGCTCTGTCATCCCTCCTGATCTGTGCCTGTGAGTTTCCTCCCTGGGGGTTTGGATGTGTTGTTCTCTTCACAAACTCGCGGTTTGTTTGTCATTGAATTACTCATTGTCTCTGCTACAGTTGTTTTCCCCCTCAGGGTGTTGGAGGCCACCAGGGGGGTATACTACGAAGCAGGATTTTCGCTTAGCGGGCTAACTTCAGGGAAAACTCGGGGTTTCCGGTCCTACGAAGCTGGTTCTCTTTTAAGCAGGCTAGATCTCCATGGTAACTTATGCTGTGCGGCTAACCTGGGGGGTATACTACGAAGCAGGATTTTCGTTTAGCAAGATAACTTCTGGGATTTCCGGTACTACGAAGCTGGTTCACTTTTTAGAGGGCTAGATCTCCATGGTGACTTATCCTTATGTCTGTGCTCCGAAACAGGATATGTTCCAGAATAAGAGATCAACTCAGGGAAAGCACCACGCCTGCTGACCAATCAGAGATCAGTGTGCGGAGGAAATAGTTTAAACTGCCGTTGCAGGAACTATGTGCAGGAAAGACGGCCGGCCAAAATCACCGACTGTGAAAATGAATAGAACATCACCTCCCATCTTCAGAGCAATCTGACTATAATAACTATTATACTATTATGTTAAGAAAGCTTAATTAAATATCTGCCACAACATGTAACCGGATCAAAGTAACATTACGTTGCCTACAGTCCGCGGCACTGTGAGTGCAGACGTCGATGTGTCCCATTATCATTCATATCACATCATAATGTATCATATATCTCCTTATCTGAGTCAGCTGAGCCGTATCTGGCCGTGCAACACTCACAGTGTCACATAGCCGCAGTGACCACCAACTGGCGGCCCGCGGGCCACATCCGGCCCACCAGACATTCTCATCCGGCCCGCACGACGGGGGTGACTGTGGCGTTACTGCGTTCGCCCCACACCCATTTTTTTTTTACAACGTCTCGTGAGTAAGGTAGAGTACCGGAGTCCAACAAAGAGGCAGCAGCTGCGGGACAGTAGACTGCGAAACCTTCCCTGCCTTGAAGAAGAAGTGATCCTTCGTTGTGAAGAGTCTGCTTTGTGCGCTCCGCAGCACAGCAGTATCCCCGCTGCGACAGAGTCCAACAGAGAGGCAGGAGCTGCGGGACAGTAGCCTAGAAGCAGGGTTGGGTTGTAACGGAATACATGTAACGGCGTTACGTAATCAGAATACAAAAATCAAGTGTATTCAGCTGGCGTTACATTTGAAAAACGAGTAATCTGATTACAGTTACTTTCGTAAACCTGAAGTGAATACATTTTGGAATACTTATTGGAATTATTGGTGGAAAAGTTTCCTCACAAAATGTAATATTCATTACCGGCATAACTGTGCGCACTGCACAGCGCTGTATGGAAGTCCTCAAGTGCCACTATTCGCCCGTTTTTTGTAAAAAACGCGCGTTTTTCGCGCGTTTATTTGATCAAATAAACGCGCGTTTTTTTAATATGATAATGAGCCCCACCTTCTGTTTTTCATAGCCAGTACATTTAAAGTGTGTGCAACCAATCAGTGAAGAGATAAGCCAGACTAAAGCAATCTGTTGATGAAAAGTTCCTGTAACCTACCCCATTGTGAGATTTAGATAGAAAATAATCACAATAATTAAATCTAAATTAAACATTTACAGTAAATAATATAAAGTATAAACATATCTACAGTCACAATTTCATTAATGTTATTCATACTTTCTGTTGTGTAGTTTATTAATGTTCCCGTGCTTTCAGTTTCCATCCAGTAATATAATCAGTAGAGGAAAAGTGTGTGTGTGTACAAGATAGATATTAACTTTACTCCACAATTTCCTACCGTATTATTAAATAAGTCTGCACAGCTGAGGGGACACCTGTAACTCAATTCATGTGATTTTTGGGTGATTTATTCAATAAAAAGCTCTGTATTTTCAGAGTTAATCAAATGACAGCCACATTGTTATCTAAAGTGTCTCAAACACGTTTTAGGACAGTCACAATTTCATTAATGTTATTCATACTTTCTGTTGTGTAGTTTATTAATGTTCCCGTGCTTTCAGTTTCCATCCAGTAATATAATCAGTAGAGGAAAAGTGTGTGTGTGTACAAGATAGATATTAACTTTACTCCACAATTTCCTATCGTATTATTAAATAAGTCTGCACAGCTGAGGGGACACCTGTAACTCAATTCATGTGATTTTTGGGTGATTTATTCAATAAAAACCTGTTCAAAAAAGACATGTCCTTATTATCCACTGCACACTTTTTTAAAGCAACACTGACAACGTGCGCCTGTGAGACATGTAATCTCTGAAAATGATTAGACATGCATAACTTCTACAGTGAAAATCGGTCATACTGTAAGTGCAACTTCTGAACACAACACTTTTTCGCAAATGTTTTACAATGCATAATTATTATAAAACCTTGGTTTTAGAAACCTTACCATGTAACAATGGTAACTGTGAGTGAGTGCAACAAAGTGTCTACCAGCTGGATTCTCAGTCTATTCACTTTTGGGCTCATCTTTTTCCCCTCCATCAGGACTTTTTGCACAACTTCAAAAGTGGATTGCAGTTATTTCTGATATCTTAAGTTCAGTCAGACAACTCACGTGTTCCTTTAACATGTTTATTAGAAGCAGCATATAGTTGAGTTTGGCGACTAGGCTCGGGCATCATCACTCCATAGATACATAGCACGATGAGTGATGATCAAATAACTAACCCCCGAGCCTACAGGTGGAAGCTGGGGTGGTGGTGGGGCAGCGAGCAGCAGCGACGTAGAGGTAGCTGCGGCAATAGCAGCAGCAAGCAATGCATGGAGAGAGATCTGGCAGGTTAAATAGAGCGGCATATTAAGGAGACTCTGTTTGGTTGGTTGTAGAGTGGCAAGGGGGCGTTATGTATGAATGCAGCATAAGTGCTCGAGTTGACTGCCTGAACTAGCTCGCAGGCTTCGCCCCATTTCAGTGCGTATATGAGCCCGAAGAGCATGGCAAAAGCTGTCGCAACCGAGGGCAAGCCGCTGAGGACCTCTGTTCCTTCGATGAGAACCTTGACGTCTTTGGGTCGATGAAGCTGATCCTCTTTCCCAGTGTCAAAGGCTTCCATTGTTGCCTGCTCCAGTTCTCCAGCCTCAGCGTCCTGCAGATCATGCAAAAAAAAAGGGGAATGGATGAGGACCACAGAGTGTAGTTCAACAGGCCTGAGGCGTCAGTTCAGTCGGCCCAAGAGGAAAGCTCAGGAGGTCATCACAAATGACTATCTTTCTAACCAAGCAGTTATTTGCATGCAGTACAAATATGTTTTCTTTTATGAACAAACTTCTTGTGAGTGAGTGGGAGGTCTTACCTGGAATTCTTTGATGAGATGGTCAACAGATTCACCCAGGTAGATCATTAGAGATTTGAGGACGCATTCTCTTCTGATGGTGATGTCCACAGTCTGAGTAAGAACAGAGATATATATATATAATAAATTAAATGCAAATAAAGGAGGATTCAGCCACTGATCCCACAGATAAAAAACTCATTCATAGATACCTCATCCAAAACCTGCAAGATCCCGGTGGTCTTCTGTTTCACAACTCCTCCCCTGCTCCTGATGACCTGAGTGTTTGTCCAACTGCGCCAAGAACTTTGTCTCCAATGGAATTGTTGTTATGCGCATTAACTCAGCATTTACCTAGAAAATATAAGCAGCATAGAAAACAAAAAATACTAAGAATTTATAATACACATGTTTTTTATAAAGAGCCAATGGTTTGATTAAAAGTACTCCAAGTCAGCTTGTATGAATGTAACATTTAAATTAATTAATCCACATATTTATTGAAAACCACCACCAAATAAAGACACTAAGAGTAATAGATGTAAAGCTTATATTGTGATATATATTAAAAAATAAACGTCAACATATTTGCCTAGGCTAGTTGTTAGTAAGTTTGGCCCTCAATTCTTCTCCACTACAGGCTTACAATCAAGGGTTTCATCAAAATAATTACCTCTTCCATGTGAAAAAGTGCAGGCCACCGCTCCAAGAGGCCTTCAATGCTTGGCCTCCGATGCACTATTTCTTGTCTTCAGTATCCAAACGCCTTCGCCATCTTTTCTTTATTGATTGCCGGTTGTTTCTTTTCTGTTGTTCAGCCAAAAGGGAAATTGTCTCTTGCTCCATGCTTTCTGGAGTCTCACCGAGGCGGTGCTAGGCAAGACTTCTTTGCTGGCTGGGTTGATCGTGATGGCTGTGGTGGAGGCCTTTGTCCCGAGGTGTATCTTAATCTTGTGGCAGATGGAGATGGAGGCCACTGTAGTGATGATGGTCCTCTGGTCCTTTGCGGTGAAGGCCCTTGAGCCACGGTAGATCTTGACCTGGGGGCAGGGACAGATGGAGGTTCTTGCTGCTAGGCCCAGGCAGCTGTGAAATCTGAAAAAAAATATGGGCAATAATTACTACTAAGTTTGTTAAAATAAAGTTCAAGTGGAATGTTTCTCAAGCACAAATAACAATGCACAACTCAAAATAAAATGATCTCTCTCTCTCTGGAGGAGGAGGAGGAGGAGGAGGAGGAGGAGGAGGAGGAGGAGGAGGAGGAGGAGGAGGAGGAGGAGGAGGAGGAGGAGGAGGAGGAGGAGGAGGAGGGTGTGAGAGATAGAAAGAGAGACGTTGTTAGTATTTGGTGCTAGCTCGGAGCTAACGGAGATTAGAAGCCGTTTCAACAATAAGGAGAGGGAGAGCTCTCTCCTGTGGGACTGAGAGAGATAACGTCAGCTCAGGGAGGTTTGGTCATCATATCCATCTATGTAATATTAGTTGTATATAAAATGAGTTAATAAATCATTCCACTGTGTGCAATAGGTCAGTACAAAATAAAAAACACAATTTGAAAGGGGAGTGATTAGTAAAATATGCATAAA